TAGGTCAGGTAAACCTCTAAGCTCTCGCAATTTCCTTCCCTGTAGCAAGACTTCGATTTGAACTTGCCTCCACGATTAGATAACTCAAATAAGATTAACTTAATTCTTCCTTAGATTGGTTTTAAGATGCTCAGAATCAAATTAATTGCAAAGTAAATTAAAACTTGTATATGTTCAATCCCGTGTTTTGGAGTGCATTTATTTAACATTTCGTAATCACATTACTTGCTTGTATGTTTGACGGGCTGAGCGATCATGAGTCAAGCACGGATTGAAAAGAAGACATTGCTGTTGAATACCAAAAAACTTCACTGCAAAATACTCAGGTGAACGTTCTTGGACACCTTTTCGTATCTATGTGGTATCCGTGATTTTACAGTTAGTTTAGCTTTTTAGTTGTGATTTAAATTTGTTACCATAAGGGAAACTTGATTTTTCCGTTAGATCTACAATTTCGTTGTTGGAGTTATTTGCATAAACTAAGAACGAATTAAGACAAACGTAAATACAATCACAATATAGGTAGTTCTCAAAAATGGAAAAAAGATTTAAAACATCATTCTCATAGACTAACAAAGTTCACATCGTTTTGAAGAACATAGGATATTTTGAAACCATAGTTGAAATGAAAGGTGCATACTTAGATTCTCATAGTTAAACTGCAAACAAAAGCTCAAGAAATAATTAAATGGAAAAGATCTTCATACACTGATGGGAATGGTTGAGTGATTTATCTCCTTCATTCCTCCTTCTCATCATTCATCGCTCAGGTCCTCCTCTTGGTGCAATCTGCAGTAGACCAGTACCTATGAATGGTCTTAAGGAGCAGGCGACATTCTAAAAAAACATTGTACATCACAAAAATTTAAATACTTACAATATGTTCGTGAAATGTACCACCTCGTGGTGTCCAGGAGGATCATACTCAAAAGTAGAAATCCCTTCTTCATCTTCGACTTGAATAGGACCTGGTAGTTTATAGGGTAATGGTTGATCATTATCTAGTTAGTATTGAGATGCTATAGCGTAAGATGAAGGTAACTTTCGGTTATCAAAGAAACTAACCATCTCTTCCAACAACACGCCAATTGGTTAATAGGATATGTTTGTTCCGGTTTCACCATAACATAGCCAATTACGTTTAAAGAGAACCGCCAAGATTCCCTTTGCACGACAGTTTAGATGATTTCCACTGCATAACAGTCAAATTGTGACATTCATAATCATATAGAAACATAACACGTTTCTTAGTTTGGAAAAGATATAATAAGTAGTTATCAAATTCTTACTCGTTGTCTTCAAGAACAAAGTCAATCGATCCGGTGGTCTTAGGATCATAGTTATGTATGTTTCTAGGCATAGAGTCATCCACTGTGAGGCCGAAATCTGAAACAGAAGATATGACGCCTAGAAAGTCTACAAAAACCGTTTAAAACAGAATATCAAACTTTAACAAAAGGATATTAATTAATCTTAACATTTTGCTCTTCAACAATAGTATTAGTAAGGAAAATTAACCTCTAGTGTAAGAAGTTCCATCGTGAACAGTTCCGTTCTTAACATCCTGAAATGGAACCAAATCTAGCGGAATAAAACCATTGAACAATTCTGAAACACCAACTTCTGTGTTTCGCTTGAGAACGATCTCTTTTCTCTGTTTAGTCATACGAATCTCATTCCGGACAATAACAACTGAGAAACCAGTTATCGTGAACCAGTCTCCTTGCTGAAGAAGTCTCTTAAATCTCTTGGCATCAGCAAAATGCTGGACGAATGCATGAATCCTTGTGCCCTGTTTGCAAAAATGAGTAGAGATTAAAACATTAAAAAATTTCACCTCTAAACTGACTCAATCTGACTCAATGTTTAACTGTATAGGTTAATTATTCACAAACCTCATCATCAACCACCAGGAAACTGAGCCCTTCACCATTCTCGACATCTAGAGTAGACCACACGTTCTCAACTCTCACTCGAATCATCGAATCATCTCCATTGGGTGTAATCATGGCGAGTCTCTCAAAGTTTGCCATGGAAGTTGTTTTTTAGGTTTCTTTTCTTCTTTACAGAGTTTTGATTGAAATCGGATGAATGATTCCGCTTATATATGATTTTTTTTAGGGTTGCGTTTATGTGGACGGTTGCATTTAATCATGGATTCTTAAATATTTCCTGAAGATTTTCTGAAGATTAAATATTTTCCTGTGATAATTCACAAACATAATATCTTTTCAGAAAAGGAGTGTTCATTAAGTTGCGGATTCTATGTAACCGGCTAAGGAATCATTACATATTCGAATAGATATATGTCAGTCGATATTAAGATAAGTTCTCATTTAATTGGTTACGTACATATGTAAACTTTGTTTTTATATTATTGATCTAGTTATGATGGTTGTCATTGATTAAATTGTTATACAGTTGAACATTGTGTAGGAATCATCAGTGAAGAGGATTGAAAAGGAAACATTGTTCTTCAATAGAAAAGAACTATGCTGCAAAATATACTAAGGTAAATGTTTGTTGTTTTTCAATCCTTTGCAATCCGTGTATTCCTGTTTGTTTCATTTTTAGTTGTGACTATTGTTATGTTATTAGAAAAGGCTATGAACAAATTAGATCAAACATAGTTAAATAGAAAGAAAACTTACAAAGGTTCCCAAACATGAAACAAAGGTTTAATATATAGTTGTCTTAGATAAGTTGCATAAAGATAAGTAGACGACATGCATGATCTTAAAATATCTTCCGACATTTTGCTTGAGCATATCCTGAAGTCCATCAACTTTTGTTGTCGGTTCTACAGCCATTGAAATAATCAAATTCCATTTCTTCAACTTCTTCTTCGCTGCTGTCTTGTGAGGAAGAGCACCTGCATAGACACATTAGTTTTATTAAGCTGTAATATTCAAGTTTTAAGCCTTTTCATTTCTTGTTATCAGAGAGAGTCATAGGTAGAATACTTACATTATCTCAGTGAAATGGTCAACCTCATCAAAGCCAATAGGATTGAATTCAAATCTAGAGATTCCTTCTTCACTTTCGATATGAGCAGGATCTAAATAACATCCCATCAAGATAAATAAGATAAATTAGTATTATTCAAGCAAGGATGTAATGGAAATTTTCATACACTAACCGGCATCTTCAAGAACCCGCCAATCGGTTAAGAGGCATACGATAGTCTCAATTTTACCATAGTAAAGCCAAAACCGTTTAAACTTAGATGCTAAGGCACCCTTTACACGACACTGTATTTGATCCCCACTAAAGTAGCCACAAATAGTGTATGTATTTCAGGTTAGAATTCAGAAAAGATACATAACTTATTCCAATTTAGTTTTGTGTAAATATACTTACTCGTTGTCCTGTAGGGTGAAATCTATTGTGTTAGTGGTCTTTGGATCATCGTTTAAAGGGTTCCTAGGAATAGAGACATCTTCCCATGACCGTTGTCTCACGAACTTCAAGTATAAACCCTAGAAAGTCTACAAAAAAATACCAAATAACATTAACATATTGAAAGCTACATTTCCTATAGGGTTCCTCGTTTAGATGATACAAAAGGTTAAGTAAGAAAAACTAACCTCTAGGGAAAGAAGTTCGTTCATCATTCCAAAAATTCGAAACATATTCGTAAGGAACGATGTCAAGCGGAATCCAAGCATCCGAGTCCTCTGCGGGTGTGACGCTGGTGTTGGACGTGAGAGCAATCTTGTTTCTGGCTTCCGTCAAACGGATCTCTGTATTCACCATCACCACGGAAAAACCGGTTAGAATCTTCCACTCCCCTTCATGAAGACATCTCTTGAACCTTTTCCTCTGATTACTTTGTTCAACAAAAGCATGCATCTTTGTGCCCTGTTAGAGTTGTAAACTTCAATTAGGAACATGATTTTGGAACATAAAGAACTTGTATATGAGAAAATATGAATATGAATAGATTGAGAACAAACCGTTTCATCCACAAAAAGAAAGTTTAGAAAATCTCTTTCCTTTGTTTGGTCAAACGAATTCTAGGAGTAAATGTACGAACTTTGAAACCAGATATGGTCTTCCACTCTTCTTCATGAAGTAGTCTCCTAAATCTCCTATGCTGATCTTTTCTTTCCACCAATGCATGCATCTTCGTTCCTGTTGCAATTGTGAAAATAAATTAAGAAATCCATTCGTATCATGTAAAATTAGTTTCAAAATAAAATTACTTTGAAACTGTAACAGTAACCTCGTCATCGAGAAAGAGGAAACTGAGCCCTTCACCGGTGTCGACATGAATTGTATCCCAGATCTTTAACACTTTAACAGTAATCCTCGAATCGTGACGGTTTGGTCCCACTCGTGCGAGTTTAACGTCGTTCAACATTGGAAAATTATCGAGATCTATTATTTTTCAAGATTGTGATGGTTTGAGTTAAGATGGAAGAATATTTATATAAGGGTAATGATCTTTATGTAGCAATGAGATTTTCCGAGAATACAATATAATTAGATTTTGTTGAGTTTTTTTTTTGACCGCATTTAATATAAATATAACTTCCGTGTTTGACTATACCGTAGAATCCGGTATTTAATTTACTGAAAGTCTAGATTCGGATTTTAGTGTAGATTGACGTCATATTCTTTGCAATATTAGTATATAGATACTTAATTTATGTGGGAAATATTAATGACTCTTTTGAAAAATTTGTTTTGTGTTTTTGTAGGTGCATTTTGAAGAAACGAACCTTAACTAACCGTTTACAGGATTCAGTTCAGACATCACGTAAGGTAAGCATTGAGTTTGGGCTTGATATTAACTGTCATCGTTTAATCGAATTACGTAGTTTGAATGGGCTAGAAATAGTGAACGGCTTTTTCAACTAATTGCTTATATTGAGTATTCGATCTTATATAGTTTTCTGAATAAAGAATTAGATATATTAAAATCTGGTTGATCGTTTATGTGTTCGTTCATCATCATCGAATATCTTTGGTAAAAATAAAAAATGATATCATGTAGTTCAATCTTCTACAGATAGAAAATTCATGAAAAATAGTTTAGTGTGACTCATTCGATATGAATGAGTTATTCTACATAAGATCTCTAGAAGCATAACAAATTAAAACCTCTTCGAATAGGATCTTCTACAGAAGACCATGGTTAGAGATTCTGGAAAATTTCTTTGAAGACAACATTCGTTGTCTTCTTCTGTGGCTTGCCCTTGTTATCCACGATCAAAATCTTCAATCCTTTTTTCGACGTAACCCTGGAGATAGCAACATAGAGTTGTCCGTGAGAGAAAACGGGTCTTGGCAAGTAAATTCCAACCTCTGACAGGGACTGGCCTTGGCTCTTGTTAATAGTTATGGCAAAAGCAACAGATAGAGGCAATTGTCTTCTTCTCATTTTGAATGGAAGCCTCGCATCTGATGGTGTAATGGTGAGTCGAGGAATGATAACTTTCGCTCCAATCTTGTCTCCGGTAATAACCTTAGCTTCTACCATAAAGTCAGCTAGTTGAGTAATTTGCAGCCTTGTTCCATTCATTAGACCTCCTATTGGATCAATATTCCTTAGCAACATCACCGGACACCCAACCTTCAGTCTCAAACTGTGGTTAGGTAAGCCAGCAACTCTGATGCTGTTTAAGAATTCCGTGCTTAGAGCCTCGTCATTCATGGCAGAAGAGTCTGAAGGATCCAAGGTATCACAGCTGAGATAAATTCGTTCCTCTCCTGATAGATATCAATTTAGGTTAGTTACAAATCGTAAAATAGTAGAAACTGAGGAAACTGACTAACCATTCAATTTGTCTAGCATGTGCTGGTTTATCTTGTCGACATCTTCGTTCGTAGGACAAAGAATTGCTCTTCCTTGGAAAAAGTTTGGATCCGTGTTGTCCTGCAGAGCCTCGGAACTTCCATAGATCTTCCTGCTTATAGATTCAATAGGCTCCTCTTCATCCATTATAAGGAATTCCTCAGGAATTTCGATCTCAGCTTCACCATCATTAGGTTCCGCTATTCTTCCATTACCAACATCGAGTATCCACTCTGAAAATTCCTTTAGGTCTCTTGCTTCTTCTTCACTCAGATTACCAGATAAGAGCCTCATGTTCTTTGTCAGTTTTAAAACTTTGCAGTGTTTCCAAAGATAAGATGAGTTCAGCGAGGCTCCTACTATTTGTGCCCTACCACCACCAGGTATTACTGGAAGAACTTGTCTGAAATCACCTCCAAACACAATTACTTTACCTCCGAACGGCTTTCCATCTTTATTACCAATAATGTCTGAAAGACTTCGATCCAAAGACTCGAAACAATGCCTACTCATCATAGGAGCCTCGTCCCATATAATAAGAGACGACTCTTTGACCAAATTTGCTAGATCAGAACCTTTGCTCATAACACATGTAGTAAACTCATCTGGATTCAGAGGTATCCCAAACCTGGAATGAGCCGTGCGGCCTCCTTGTAACAGTAGTGATGCTATACCACTTGAAGCTACATTTAAAACGATCTCTTCCCTGTATCTAATTGCAGAAGACAAAATCCTCCACAAAAATGTTTTTCCAGTTCCACCAAAGCCATATACAAAGAACACTCCTCCTTTTCTCGCTAAAACAGAACCAATTATTTCCTCATACACTTTCTTCTGTTCAGGAGTAAGCTTAGCAAAGTCTCTGTCGTGGTTTGTTTTCTGCTCCTCTTTTTCATAACTCTTTTCATCAAAAATTAGAACATTATCGGTAGCTGAATAAGTAACTCCCCGTGGTTGAGGCATACTTTTAAACCTCGTCCAGTCAGCGCCATTCCTTTTTACTAACTTTACAATCTCCTGGAGAGCATATTCCCTTTTGTCTTCGTCACTTAGCGTAAGTGCTGAAATTCGTTGACAATACTATTTAGTAAATAGATTCCTTTTTTTTTAAAAAAAATTAAGGAAATAAAGCCAGTGAAGATATTGTACCTGGTCTATTAAGATCTCTTCTTCTAATCATCTCCATGTCGTCAGAAAGAAACTCCCAACACGCATACCAAACTACATCTGGCGAAATCAGACTATCTGAAGTAAGCATGATGACAAACAACTGGCGAAGTTGTGATGGAGGACATGTGAAGCTTCTTCTGCAAATATCATCGATATACTCTTGGTCATCCTCTAGCAGGCCCCTAGCGTAACAGGCATCTTTAAATTCAGGGTACAACACACCATTATAGGTCTTTATCTCCTCAAACGATCTTGGACCTCTCACGACGTTTAACAGCATTCTCAAATAGTAAGCATCTTCAATCTTCCTTGGTGCGTAATTGATTCTTCCAATGCTGAATCCTCTCTTTCTACGTTTCCAGCGTTTTTCACTTTTTACGTAGGTAAAATAATTTGGAATCTGAACATAGGTAAGCGTTCTAGCAAATTCACACTCCTTGTTCAGTTCAAACCATGCCAGCATCATTGTCTTCTCAATTAGTTTACGTGTTACGACCCTCTCCATTTTGTCACTACCTTTGTAAATAACCAACTGTTTCCCTTCGAGGTGGAATGTCAGTTTCTCCACTGATACAGATCTATGGTGTATCGGGTATTTGAATGTTCTCCAAACAGCTTCAGAGGGTGAAATGTACCTAAAATAAAAGATAATGATATGACCACAGCTAAGAAAACAGTCATATCGCTTAAATGGAGGCTAAAGACAAATAATAAAGCATACCGGCAATCAAAGTAGTCCTTGATCTCATTCCTATTTTCCTTGGAAGCTTTCTTCTCTGCGCTAACACCCTCATCATTTGATCGACTGTTGGCATCTCCACTAACATCCTTATGTCCGCTCTTTGTTTTTCTCCTGGCTTCCTCAGCTGACTCAACGACAACAGAAACACGATCGGCTCCTTTGTTGATGTACTTAAATAAATATCTGACAGCCCCCGTCTGGTTACACCACTCAACATTGATGTGTGCTCTATAACGGACGGATAGGGTTTTGTTGTATGGAATTACGTATCTGTTGTCGCATTTAAAACCGTTCTTCTCCACAAACACATTGGGCTGATCGCGTCTCCTATATAATGGGAATCCTTCTCTATTGATTGTAGTCTTTTCAGCGTGGCTCTTGGGGAAGTTCTTAGTACATATATCATTGCTCATACATGGTGAATTGGGGTTGGCATGACCACATGGTCCATGAATCATCATATCTTTCACAACATCATACAACTCTGGATCTTTTGATTTATCTGGTATTTCGGCGGATATAATATCGTCAATAGCGTCTGTTGTCTGGAGCTTTGACTTCTGATCCATGAATAGAAGAATGTGTGCATGTGGCAAACCTCGCTTTTGAAATTCTATGGTGTACATAGCTGCATTGCCAATCATGTCTCATCGTTAGATAAATAGTTATCAACATATAGGAATATGCATATCAGATATCAACGATAAAAGTAGGGGCTTCGTAAACTTACAGGCCACCGTTTTTCCCAGCAGGTTTTTGAGAGTTAGATCTTCCATAAGAGATTTTAGTTTCATCCGGTAGACTCTGCTAATAAGTTCAGCTCTATCAGTGGCACTTAGACGGGTCCCTGCGAGATCCCTTGATATTTCTGGCCATTTAGGATTGCATGTAAAAGTAATGAAAAGATCTGGAAATCCATGATGTCTACAAATGGCCATGGCGTCAAAATACAACTCCCTCATGTATCTTGGTCCACCAGTGAAACTCGCAGGTAGCAGAAATTTATTGCCTTGTTCATCCATTTCAATAACACCGTGGTCTTCCGCTTGTTTGATAGAGTCATAGCTATCAGACCTCAAACTTGTCTGGTTCAATCTCAAGTAGGATAATCTGTTAGACTCTATCATAGTGTAGGTATCAACCAGATACTGCTGGAACAATCTCCTAGAGTGTAGCAAGTGATTTGACTCGTTTGGTCTAACCATTAGACGATACGCAAAAAACTGTCTAACGCTGATGTTTTCCTTTTTCGTCTTCTTAGAAGCTTCAACATTGGCTTTCTTAATTCCAAGTCGGAAACCATCTTCTCCATAAGAAAACCCCAGAGGATATTGCAGTGGTATGTAGGCTGGATGGATTTCGCTTATCCGTCGCAGCTTGCCTGATCGTTTCTCTAGAACAATATCCCGTCTTGTACCCATTTCTAAATTGAAATCTCCGGGAATAATTGCAGCAACCTCAGACACAGTTGGAACATTGTAAGTTCTACCATCTGTAACACGATCACTAATTATCCTCATATGAAAACTATCTTCAGGATTAGTGTTGAATCTTTCTCTTGCAGTCCTGAAATTCTTGACATAGGGGTTGACATCGTCGAGCATCTTTGTCAGCGCATCAATGATGTCCTTCCTGAGTCTATTCTTCTTATCTGGCTTGGATGCGTGTTTCCCCTTACTGAAACGCAATGACAAAACCCTAAATTGGTAATGACTTCATAATTATTATGACAATAGCTTTAAACTAAAATATATTACCTGAAAAAATTCAGTCTGTTGTCCAATTCATTTTCAGAATCAACTATGTACATCTGATAGAATTTTGCATAATCACCGGGGTTTGGAAGCATACTTCCAATTAGGTGGTAATTTTCTCCGTGCAGCTGAAACATGTTTGGACCCTTTCCTTTTTTGATAGAACGATCAGTTTTACCTCCGAGAGACGTCATAGAGAACAACATGTTGTAGATTCTGATAAATTTTTGAAAGTGCCTGCTCATTTCATCATCCCCAAACAGCAATTTTTTAATAAGAGCAGGAGGATCCTTTAGTAAAGGCAATTTGACTTGGCCGTGCATACAACAAAGGTTGAATGATGGATCCCCCGTCGTCCTTCTTCTGTTTAGTCGTTCTCCATACCAAAATTTAGCACCACAATGCACGCACGAATAAGTCATGTCACCCTCGTCATTGTATACTGCACAACACAGTGAACATACAAATCAGGATTTACTATACAAAAAGTTCGATGTTGCATCATACATATAACACGTTGTTTCTAATTAGCTTACCAATCTTATCGGGTACAGTTTCTTTCTTTTTTGCCATACTCACTCTCTTTCGTTTTTTCAGAGTTGGAGAAGGTTGAACAGTTTCTTGAGTAATCACACTCTCAGGAAGTGTTGGAACTATGTGTACGGTCGAAGGAGGTTCTTGTTCGGAGATATGCGTTTGTTGCAGATGTGATGGAGAAGGTTGGTATTTATCATTATCACCATCTTCTGTGTCTGTGCTATCAGGACTACTACATTGGAAAATGTGTTCGTAATCCCCTTCATCGTCTGTTAATACAAATCACGATGATAAGTTACAGATCTAGGCTAACGTTTACAATGTCTAAAAATCATAATATAAATTATCACCTTCATCAGAGTTTAAAAGATCCGGATAGTTATGTGGTCGTTCTTCATCCAGGTTATCATCCGAAAGTCCTAGAAACATCATCGTCATCTGGCAAGTTTGAGATATCCTGCAGTACTCTCCTTCCACGTTGTCTCTTCCTCGTTTGTAAGTTCTGTACCCTTGACTCATTTTCTGTTTGTTAAACAGATACATAGTTAACTTCTTAATTCTTATTTAGAGGTGTGCATATACAGGATATATTCATTGCATAAAAACATGGACGATAAGCATTACCTTGTGTAGAAAGTGTTGGCCCGACTGGTTTTCCATTCTTACGTTTAGGCTTTTCCTTCGTCGGGATGGTAGTTCGTTTAGATATGCCTTCAACATCATCAATTAGTTTTCTAAAAATATATTTGAGAGTATACATGGTCCACTCATTCTCGTTGCTGCATTTGGTTCATTGTTAACACCCTTCGTTTTCTTTCTGCTTCTCTTAGGTTGAATATTTGCTTTAGCAGTGACTTTCGCAGCATCTCCTTTGTTTTCAGATTGATTTTTGACCTGACCATGAAAACCAAATGGTCATCATTATTCTACTTCATCAATTAGATAATAAAATAAAAAAAGGAGATGGGTGTCTGTTACCGGTTCTGAGTTTGGATTGTTACTTGAGGTCAATTTCCTCTTCCTCGTGACTGGAGGTTTAGTGTTGTTATTACACTTATCGCTAATTCTCGTTGCTGCATTTGGTTCAGTGTTCACGTCCTTCGTTTTCTTTCTGCTTCTCTTAGGTTGAATATTTGCTTTAGCAGTGAGTTTCGCAGCTGAACCTTTGTTTTCATTTTGATTTTTCACCTAACCATGAAAACCAAATCATCATCATGATCCTACTTCATCAATATGACAATAAAAAAAGGAGATGGGTGTCTGTTACCGGTTCTGAATTTGGATCTACATTTTCATTGTTACTTGCGGTCAATTTCCTCTTCCTCGTGACTGGAGGTTTAGTGTTCTTATTAAACGTGTCTGTGCCTACATTTTTAAGACGAACCATTTTCCAACTGCATAAACAAAAAGGTCTAAGTTACGTAGAAATGTAGACAAAGTTTTTTGGTCAAAGGAAAATCACAATGGTCTGTTTGACAATACCTGCTTCTCTTCTAATTAACCTCCTTGTGATTTCTTTTAAGAGGTTACGCAGGGGATGTTTCACTGAAGGTCATCTTTGTGAAAGAGGTAATATCTATCCATGTACAATTGTTCATTGCTAAATACTTCTTCCTTAGTTTAACCAATCTAAGATACTCCGGAGATCTCATTCGATTATTCAAAATCTTATAATTGTACATGGCGGCAAGCTTAAAATATAACAATTGAGATTCCCGGTTTCACCAAACTTTTCAAATATATAAACATTCCCACTTATATGAACAACTAACTTTTACAAAATACAAATCTCAAACAGAATATTTAATCGTCCAATTAATTGTATTTTGACCTCGATTATAATTTGGTTATATAATTAGAGAGTGCCATCTTTTGCAAAAACATGTCTATTGACACCCTCACATTATTTAAAGATAGATCACATTATTTCCAATAAAGTTTGAGTTATATTTGTCTAGGTTTATGAATATATACGGGTTAGACCATCTTGAACATTTGTAGATCACATTACTTGCAGGTAATCCAATAACTGCGGTTAATTTAGTATATGACGTTTCAGAGCATGTTGAAATCTGGCATCTATTAGGTACGTATCCTACTCAGTTTGGAAAAGTCTCCATGTTGTATTTGTGTATTGATAGTTGATATAGAAAAATATAGTTAAGCAAACAAATGTAAAACAAAAGCTCCATTATTTTAAAAAGTTGCCAGAAAAAGAAATGAAATAAATAGAAAACCAACTGTGTAGCAAAATAAAAACACATGGAGAACATAAGCTCGATCCTTGATTGAAAACAATAAATTATTGGAGACTCTTCTGCATGCTACGCTTAACGTCAATTCTCGGTGAGTTGGTGGAGCTTAGCTTCGCTCTTATTTGCTTCGGGATGCTGGCTAATTAGTCCATCCGGATTGACCAGCTCTCTACTGGCCTCTGTAGGAAGTTGCTTGGGGCAATGCTTCTTCGAAGTGGAAGAGCCGGCTGGGACACCATGCATTGATTCAAAATCACGCTTCGGTGATGGGGTTGAACCATCATCTGAAATGCTTTGGCTGTTACTCTTGACAACCGACAACTAAAACATAGGTGAGGATTCAAAGATTAATCAAAGTTCATATTATGTTCATTTCAATACAAAATGGGTTTAACGTGAATGTAAGAGAACAGGGTGTGCTAACCTCCTCGCCAGATGCAATGGTCGAACCATTATCAATGGCAATGAATGGTCCATCGCCAGATTCCGTGTCGAGAATGAGAAGTCCTTTCTTTACCTTATGCACCTTGTAGGTGTCATTTCCATACACAATGTGTTCCTTCTCGACACCGACCAGAAACTCGAAACTTTTTCCAACTAAACTCTTGACGTCATCGGGTATTAATTCTGGATCCTGAATCTGTTTTTTTCATAATAAATAGGCATCTCGTTAAAACGTGAGCTAGTATAACAGGAAACATATTATGCAGCTTCTGATAATGATATTACCTCATCGTATGATCCGTTTAGCAGGAAGGAAGCTGTTTTATCCACGATGCCATAAGCAACGGAATCAAGAAGCATAACCTTTGTTTTGGCCGAGTCATCCTCTACCAGAAGGTGCAACTTGAACCTGCATATGCAAATATTCCATGTGATCACAATGGCAACTATTATATCTATACTAATGAACAAACAGGAAGATGTCGGTGCAATTTTCAGTAAAGTACACAAGGGAAAGACGAAAGCATTGAACTTGAAAGAGTTCACATGTGTGGTGAATGACATAGAGGTGGAGGTCAACATAGAAAAGTCGAAGCAAGCCTTGGTGACAAGACGGTAGTATAGGACTTATAAGACTTATGTTTTGCAACATTTGTTTTTGTTTTGATGTTGGTGTAAGACATATTTTGGTTGATTAATGAAACAATCTTCTTAATCATATTTTATATATTATATTAAAAATATAAATCAAATTGATTATATGCTATAAAAGGTAAGGGAATTGATTATATGCTATTGTAGAAGAAGGATCTATCACAGCACGACATGTGAATTGTTAAAAATAAAATAACAGAAATAGGTAATGCTATAACAAAATAGATAATAGCATTAAAATTTTGTTATGATATCTGAAGCTATCTTAGCATATTAAAAAATGCTATCTTATAGGTGGCATCTACCATAGCTGCCGATGTCATAGCACTTAGTAAAACGCTATATAATCCATATGATAGCAAATTTTGCATGCTAACAATGTAGTTATTTGTTGTAGTGAAATTGAAATAAACTAAAGATAAAAGAAACATTGAAGAAGGTGGGTCTAAACTATAGCCGATAAGTCGTATAGACCTACGCTAGTATGGCTCGACTGTTTTTTTTTTATAACTATTTCATTTATTTCTTAAAGACCCGATAATTATCATAGCATAATAACACAAAATCATGGAACGAATATCTTAAGATGAAATAATGTATTAATGTTTTTTTTTCTTTCATATAAGGCATTGCCATGCATTGCGTTCCATGCGTACTTAACGTTAACTTTTAGCTCTCATCAAGGAAATCCACCGCCGTAACCACCTCCAGCACCGGCTCCCCCTCCGAATCCACCACCGAGACCTCCACCTGCTCCTCCTCCTCCTCCAAATCCACCACCACCACCGGCTCCTCCTCCAAGTCCACCCCCAGCACCAGCTCCACCTCCAAATCCACCACCAGCACCACCGCCTCCACCAAGCCCACCACCGCCTCCAGCTCCTCCACCAAATCCTCCTCCAGCTCCTCCTCCTAAACCACCGCCGCCGCCTAGACCGCCTCCAGCTCCTCCGGCTAAACCACCACCAGCTCCTCCGCCAAGACCGCCTCCTCCACCAAGGCCACTGCCTCCACCAAAGCCGCCGCCTCCACCAAGACCACCGCCTGGATGGTGGAAGAACGTCTTTTGATCCTCGAGACCACTCTTAAGCTTCCTGTTAGCGACACTAGCAAATGAAGTGAAAGCTAGAGAGCCGACAAGTAAGGCAACAAGAAGCATTGACTTTGAACCCATGTCGATCTTTGTGTTTTGTGTATGTTATGATGAGGAACTCTATCCGCCAAATAGGTGTTTATATAGATCATATAGGATGAGATGAAGAAATGAAAAATCGAGTAAAAAAAAAAAGAGAGAGTAAAGTTTTAGAGTGAACAATTACCATTAATTCATCTGCCCATCTAATTCGTGTTGGAAAATTTAATGCAATCCCTAACTACCAAATGTTGACTAACTAGTCACTCACCCACATGTAGTAGACCCCTTCTTTCATTCTTTGTGTTAATACTTAATACTACTATAGTACATTAGTACTCATTTTCTTGTCTCTCGCATTTAAATTAGTTATCGGGTTTAATGATGAATCCGAGTTTTTTTAAAAGAAAATTTCTTATTATGTTTACTACATACAGGTGTCCACCATTATCCCCAAAATGGTATATATATTGGAACATTCACGATTTAATTTAAATGTACACAATACATTAGAAGGGAGTAATAAAATATGAAATAATTTTTATTCATCAATTTTTTTACGTTCATTTTCTCGTGACTTGGACGAGGTTTAAAATCGGCATCTGCCTCGCACTGGCATATCTCATAAATCAGTCTTGTTTAATAAAGTCTTACGCTATAAAGTCAATATACTATATTTAAAATTTGGTGCTCTTCTTGGATATGATTGAATGCTTTCTTCTTAATCTACTTGCTCATCCATAATTTTAACGTCTAATAATGATTGTCATATTTGTGTGGTCCCAATAGTTAAATATATGAAAATAAATTTAAACCAACTTAATTGAAAATCAAATCTAGATACGTTTTTAAAAGGTTTGAAAACCGTTTGTTATAGAAAAAGGGTCTGAACAAAAAATGTGGTTACACATGAAGAAATGCTATATAATACAATTACAATGACCATCAGAACAAGATAAGATTCGTCTATACCCTGTCGCACTAGATGAACTAGTGACTTAGTTTGGCACCATAAGAAGAAAATAAGTTTTCAGAAGCTCACAAATTGGCAACATAGGTGAACTTGTTCTAGTTTCCGATTCGATAAGCTTATGAACCTAACTAAAACCCATAGATTACTGGTGGAAAAAAAGTATACCGTATAGTTTTCCTTACAAAGAAAAATGTTAGAGATTTTTCCATTGGAAATCTCATGTGTTTGTTTTGTGACAAAGACTTTTTGCAAATCAATTAACAAGTCATGCGAATAAAGTTTACTAACCAGATTTCTCAAATAAAATAATAATTTGTGTCAGTGAAAAAAAACTGAATTGAAAACTATAGAATGGTATTATCCTGGGGCTGTTAATAGGAAGTGAATAAAAGACGGGTCATTGACGGAGCATACGAGTGTGTATTACTCATTCAACACAAATAATAATAAATTGTAAGGCAAAGTGGTTCAATTATCTTAAAAAAGAAAAATTATTGTTTGCTTTTACTTCAAAAATCACAAGTGATACATCTGTTACTCTATAATTTGAGAATGGTTCAAATTACTGTTTACAATTTTATGAAATAATACATTATATTGTGATTAAATAATATTATACCTATATCCATTAATCCAATATGCTTTAATTTAATTATTCAGTTTTTTTATCCAATATTACAATAATATTATATATATATATATATTAAACTAATTATATTAAAAAACAAATTTACATAAAATACTTAATAATGAACCAAGGCCTCGTGGTCCAGTGGTAAAGGGGTCACAGCTGTGACTTCCGTCACTTGGGTTCGAGTCCTCTTAGCCACCTGGATTGCCTTAAATGGTAAGAATACGTGGACTGCCGTGGGCCTTGTGGGATTAGTCTTTGGGTCTAGAAAGCCTTTAGGATCACCTACGGTTATAAAAAAAAAAATACTTAATAATGTTTTAATGATAATAACCATTTTAAATTAATAACTTTATACTAAACTAAATTTATTAATAAATAAAACATAATATTTTGGATTGTCTGTATATATTAGTGAGAAATTTTAATGTCTAAACAATTTTTATATTTATATATATTTCATATTTTTCTGTTTAAAATTTAAAATTTATAAATAACCTAATTTTATTATTTTAATTATACAAAATAAAATAATAATTTTCTATCTCATTAATTATTAAAAATATGTACAGTGTTTTGGAACGCTTTATATCCTCTTTTCCCATTCAAACATATTTTTTAATCGTTGGAACCACTAGATCCGCTTGATCCGCATGTGATCCGCTCAATTCGCTTGATCCGTTTTGTCACGCTCGATCCGCTTGATCCTCAACGCTTGATCCGCTTTCTCCATTCGGAATCTGAGGCTGTGAATGGGAAGTGGATAAAAGACGGGCCACTGACGGAGCATACTGAGTGTGTATCGTCCACAACATATTCACCCATTCAACACAAATAATAAACTGTAAGGCAAAATGGTTCGACCATCTTCAAAAAGAAAAATTATTGTTTGCTCTTACTTCAAGAACCACAAGTAGTACATATGTTACTCTACAATTTGGGAGTGGTTCAAATTACTGTTTACAATTTTATGAAATAATACGTTATATTGTGATTAAATAATATTATACATATAACCATTAAAATTTAATATGCTTTAATTTAATCATTCAGTTTCTTCTATCCAATATTAAAATAATATTATATATGTATTAAACTAATTATATTAAAAAAAATTACATAAAATACTTAATAATGTTTTTATGATAATAACCATTTTCAATTAATATCTTTATACGAAACTAAATTTATTAATAAAAACATAATATTTTGGATTGTCTGTATATATTAGTGAGAAATTTAATGTCTAAACAATTTTATATTTATATATATATATTTCATGTTGTTCTGTTTAAAATTTAAAATTTATAAATAACCTAATTTTATTATTTTAATTATAAAAAATAAAATAATAATTTTATATCTCATATAATTATTACAAATATGTATAGTGTTTTGGAACACTTTATATCCACTTTTCCCATTCAAACATATTTTTTAATCGTTGGAACCACTAGATCCGCTTGATCCGCATGTGATCCGCTCAATTCGCTTGATCCGCTAGTTCCGCTTTTGTCACGCTCGATCCGCAACACTTGATCCGCTTTCTCCATTTGGAGCCTCTCTTTTCTATTGTTATGCTGATTCATCCGAAATATATTGGTACAGTAAATCAATTAACCAATTTACGTTTCATACTAATTAATTATTCTATTGTCATTGGCTAAATTATAAATTCTGGTCCAGCAACTCGATTTGCAGGTTCGGTCATGAATTTTATTTGCATATGGCTCATTAGTTTAGTGGGCCGGGGGTCCAGTATTTTAGTGAGAAAATTATAGCCAAAAGCACATTTATAGTTTCTAATTACACACAACACAAATGCACTTCTTGTTACTAGGTGACTTTACCCAAAAAAGAGAGAGATAATTACAGCTATAGGTACTTTTACACTTACTAATATCACTCAAAGGCACTTATACTTCCTAATGGACTTTCCACAAAAAATTGGGTAGCGAAAATTCAAACCTGCCATTGTTATAATTTTTTAATTACAGCTATAGACCTTTTTTTTACTATGTGCACCACAGTAACTTTGTGTTCTTTTACAGCCGACGAATTAGCCGAAGTAACCAAAGAACGGTTGTGGACCTGGTTATTTCAGTAACTTTGTGTTATCTGCAGCCGATGAACTCGGCGGAGTAACCGAAGAACAGTTGGAGATCTAGGAGTTGTGGATCTGAGAGAGATTTCTCTTTATAACTGAAGTAAAGTAAACTACGATATTTTTTTATCCAATTCTGTATCGATAATCGATTTGAAAGATTTCGTTGTCAAATTCGTCGAAAACAATTATGCTCGTTATTGGATCTGGAAAATTTTCAGTCTCGTTGAAGTTTGGAGAAGATGAATCTGGGTTAACTCGCTATCATCTCCACTTCTACATGTCCATGCTGTTGGGTACACGTCGTGATGCGCCCATCTGGACCGTCTCTGTTTTGATAATTAAATTTTTGGAGTTTGAATGAGATGTGTGGGTGGACATATTTTCGTGTACATGATTTTGTGGACATAAAGATAATTAACAACTGAGTGAGTGTTTGTTGAGTTATTTTTTATGGCCTAGACTGTTCTATGAAACCGTATCCATATGCTTGTGTCGATACTTCATTTTATATGGATATATAACACCTATGTTTATATCAATTTGTAAACATGATTCTGAAATTGGTTCTCAATCGTATCTATCCAAAACTCAACATACAATTTTTACAGGAGGGATCAATAGCCACATGAAGTCGTGGACATGATATTGTGGATATGAATCCGTGGACAAGATAACATATACATATTTAGCTCTCTCATTATCTTGGTCTTTCTAGCTAATTTCATAGGTCTCATATGGACATAAAACCGTGGATACAATCAAGAGTAACAATTTCAGAAATAAATGATATACTGGTTATATTTGGATTCAATTTCAGTGAATGTTCGGCATAGATACAATGCAAACACGCCTAGATTTTTACCTCTTCATGGAGGGATGGGCAGTGTTCATGATAAATACATAATAAATGGGATGGACTGTTGTATATGAGTGAGTGGATATGGGACATCCGAGATGACCTAAAAATGGATGCATGTCCATACACAACAATTGGACAGAGCCAAATGGACGGATCCGTTTGGATATAGAAAAAAAATTAACTAATCTTAATACAATAAATCTATGAGATTGATACACCTCTATTTTACATGCTTTTTGTACTATTTTAGTATGGTTTTCTAATGTTTTTAGCAGGTTTTCTATCTAAAAAGGTAGTTTTATTGGATTTATAGTACTAAAGTCTAAACAGGTGAAATGATGCATTTTGGAGCAAAACCGCAGGATTTGCACTTCAACCCACTCCATACCAAAGTATCAACTTTGAGAAGGCCTGAAAAATAATCTACTCAATGGATTTCATCAAGACCTTCCCGCTGTCCAAGTGAGTTAACTCTCCAACGCAAGTGGATTCATCATTTGGATGAGTAGAAATGAAGTTATGATCAATTAGTGAAGACTGGTCCAGACGGCTTAAACCGTAGCAGCACTCAACCGCGCACACCGGCGACCGAGGAACTATCGTCCCACGATCGACCCGCGCCCGAATTTCATCCGTCCCGCCTAGTGCACGGCCGAGCTCACGTACCGACCCGGGAAGGCAATAGCCCGTGTCGACCCGTCCAAGTCTCGCCACCATAAGCCGCACACGACCGCACCGCACGAACAGGAAGCATCGCCTCACGACCGCGAACATCAATCGTCCCGCACGATCATACCGTCCGACCAGGAAGGCATCGTCTCTCGTCGGCCAGACATTCAACCAATATCATCCCCGGCCGACCCGACGACCAAAAAGAAATCCCTCGGCCACGATCGACCCGATCGTACCGATGGCCGATCATGACCCGATAGCCGGCCGAACGTCCCGACCGACCGTCCGAACGGTCCGGTCGACCCGAAGCCCGTTTTGAAGCCCGTTTCACACGTTTTCACGGCCCGACTTAACCTAATGCCGCCTCTGAAGACCTAGTACTATAAATACAACTTTTTAGCCTCTTGAGAGAGAGAGCCGCATATTGTATCACGTTTTTACACTTAGAGTTTTGTTCTAGAGATTTCAAGGAGAAGATCTCTCCTCCTCACTTCAATTTGGAGAAGTTTTCTAAACCTTTATCTATCTATGATGTTTTCTTCATCTCTTTGTGTTATTGCTTTGATCATGTCTGAGTAATCCACTAGTTAGGTTGCTAGGGTTACTAATCAATGAGTTGCTTGCATGATCTTTGATTTCGATGATTAGCTAGGGATTATCTTAGAGTCTTTGTCTCGTCTTGCTCACTTAATTAATGCTGATTGCTTTACCGCGCATCTAGTAATCCGATCTTAGGTTGACTTGAGCCACGAAAGTGTTGTATCATTCGCCGGACATATTCTTTGACAAGCTAGGTTTCTTAGACTGCGAAAGTTGATTTACTATAACCTAGTGAACTGTATCGGAACCCGCTCGATCTAATGCTTGATTTAATCACCTAGGACATACCAAAAGTTTAGCGACTAGGTAGATTAACAAAGGAACCGGAGCCTCGAAAGTGGAAAGGTTTTATATTCGTGATCTGTGTTCTAGACGGTTTTAATATCCCAATATCCCTACATCATATCATCTATCATTGTTTCATTGATCATTGCTTGCTTCTCTGCGATTAGCCCCTGTTGACCTAGCGCTTCTTCCCACTGAATTTACAACTCGTTTACTTGCTAGTTTTAGTTACAATTACAACCTCTCAATCATACTTTTGTTTTAGCTTGATCCAAAATCCATAGTTTCAAAGTGTACTCAATAGCCAGTCCTTGTGTTCGATACCCATACTTCCGCGATCTGTGCACTTGCAGAGGTCTAAAGAGTTTGGTAAAACCTGACTCACATCAAGTTTTTGGCGCCGTTGCCGGGGACTGCAGCAGTACCTTTGAATCTCGACTAGGATCTAGTCTAGAATTTTAATTTTCTTGCTGTTTTTGCTTTTGAATTTCTAGTTTTTGTTTCTTTTCTTTTGAATTTTGTTTTTGCTTTTGTTTTTCCCTTTTGATTTAGTTTGTTTCTAGATTCTTTTCAGGTGCATGACTAGGAAGTCTAACAAAGACAACCTAGTCGAACATCCGGAGATAGACAAGCTTGAGAAGATACTTAGGAGAAAAAAGCTCAAGAGATGGCCGAGAAGCAGCTCGCGCGCTCATGCCGCTGAGGTAGCTAGAGCTAATGAAGAAGGAAGAGATCCACCTCCTCCCTTAATCCACAACCTCCTGCTGGGACGTTGATGTGCAACCTCAAGCTGATTCAAACAATCGGAGACTGACTCTGCCGATGCTTTCTTCACGGATAGAACCCTATCCATCCACCACTTCCTGCAAGGAATGACTATGAGATCAAGATCATAGCATTGGTTAGACAGAACCAATTCAATGGCCTTCCAGCCGAACATCCTCTTGATCACATAGAAAACTTTGAAGAGATTTGCAGCACTACTAGACTACTTGAAGTGCAAGCTCTTTTCATTCTCTCTTGGCGACAAAGCTTCAAGATGGTTGAAGTCTCTGCCCGCTCACTCCATCACCACTTGGGATGAGTACAAGGCCGCTTTCATCAACCATTCTACACCAAACAAATATCAGTTTCTGTAGGAACAAGATCTCCAACTTTCGCCAAGCTACTAATGAATCTTTTTATACTCTTTTAGTTTGGTTTTCTAGGGGTTTTTGGCAGGTTCTCTATCTAAAAAGGTAGTTTTATTGGATTTATAGTACTTAGAGTCTAAATAGGTGAAATGATGCATTTTGGAGCAAAACCACAGAATTGGCGCTTCAAACAGCTCCATACCCAAGCATCAACTTTGAAAGGGTTTAGAAAAAGATCTACTCAATGGATTTCATCAAGACCAGTTCCCCGCGTGCTCTGAGTGAGTTAACTCTCCAACACAATTGGATTGGCATCATTTGGATGAGTAGAAGTGAAGATATGATCAAATTAATGAAGACCCGTCCAAATGGCTTTATAGAGCATTCGCGTCCTGAGCCGCGCACACCGGCCGATCGTGGAACGAACATACCGCGATCGTCACGCGCACATCATTCGCATCCCGCCAAGTCCACGGCCGAGCTCACGTCCCGACCCGAAAAGCAACGTCCCACGGTCGAGCCATTCTTAGCTCACCACCACAAGCTGTGCACGACCGCGCCGCGCGAACAGGAAGGCAACAGCTCGCGACCGCGCGGCACAACCCACGTACCGCGGCCGACCCATCCGTCCGACCAGGAAGGCTTCGTCCCGCGACCGGCCCATATTCATCGGCCAAAACTTATCCATCCGTCCGACCCTGTCGGCCGAACACAAAAACTCTCGGCCACGATCGTTCCGACCGTGGCTGTAATATCCTGCATCAGAGCGGAATTTTTGCCGCACGATCCCAATCCCAATTGGTCCGGATGGGATGATCAACTCTGAAGACGAAGAGAAGATAAAGCTGTTTCAAGAACGGTATGGCCGGGATAAGGAATTTCCGGACATTTCCGAGTAGCTAAGTGAAAGCTCAAAAGCATGGAACTGACGAAAGGATTAAAATAGGAAATTTTAATTCTCAAGCACGACGGGGACGAAACCCTCTGGAAGAGGAAACATAAGAAACCCTCCTCGAAAGGAAAGAGGCGGATCGAGCAATGGGATGACAACACCAGCTACTTGGAGATGATAAGAATAGTCTAAACCAGTAAGGAGGCGACACCAACAGCTACATAGGACGAAATTGTGCTGTACCAATCAAGTGTGAGCACTCAGCTGCTCATAATGGACGAAAATGTGTTGGACGAATCATGTCTAAGCACCCAGCAGCTTGAGGAAGGAGCCAATAGGATGGAGCCACTCATTCCAGGAAGATAGGATCAAGGAAGTGATGCTCATCTTGAATGGACCAATCAGGTTCAGCTACCCAGCAGCTTGGAAAATGGACCAATGGAAAGGTGCCATTCAAGCTGAGTGGATAATGATGGATGGAGCTGCTGTAGGCGTGCCTCAACACCATTGGTCCACAAGGGGAAGAGGTGGCGCCATTCTGGTGGAGGAGATCACTCACATGCTTCACTTCCCAGCCTATAAATAGGACCCTTGGCCTCATTTCCAAACCACACCAAAATCAGAAAGAAAGAGAGAGAAAGTAGAGAGAGAAATAGAGTGAGAGGGAGGACGCCCAGAAGAAGAAGAAAGAGGAGGAGGAGGAGAAGAAGAAGAAGAAGAAGAAGAAGAAGAAGAGAGGGAGCGTTCGAGGCAGAAGCTTAGGGCAAGCCGGCGGTTCAGCGGTAAACCCGGAGTAGTAAACCTAGGCTAGAAACCGTTCAGCCGAAAGCACTGTGAGTTGTGGTGATGTTTGATTGCTTGTAGGGAATGCTAGATTGCGTGCTTGATTGATAGTTTGATTGTGAGTTGTGGTGATGTTTGATTGCTTGTTAGGGAATGTTAGATTGCTTGATTGATTGATAGTTTGATTGTGAGTTGTGGTGATGTTTGATTGCTTGTTAGGGAATGCTAGATTGCTGTTGATTGATAGTTTGATTGTGAGTTGTGGTGATGTTTGATTGCTTGTAGGGAATAGATTGCTGTTGATTGTGTTGATTGTTGATTGCTTTATTATTGTTTGATTGATTGCTTTGATTGTGTGGTTCTTTGTTATGATGCTTGTTTGTTAGATCTTGTTTATTGTTATCATATTGCATGTGAGGTTACATGGTTACTTGTTTGATGTTGATGTTGGCGGTTCGGTCTTCTTTGGTACCCCTTCCTAGCAAATGGACTGGCTAGGTGGGAAGACTCGGAGAGACGGGATAGCAGCCTATGGCCGAGTACTATTCCACCTCATGTAGTCAATGTATTGACTAATGAGAATACTCGGAGAGACGGGGTTGCTGCCTATGGCCGAGTATGGAATAGACAGCCCGGGACGTGACCATCTGGGAGACAGAACTCGTTGGGTTGTGAACCGTGGAAACGGCGATCCAACGGGATGTGACTGTCTGGGAGATGGAACTCGGGTAGTGATGTTCTATCTCGCGTGCCTGTGTGGCTGTGAGATAGGTGTTCACGGGAAGTACCGAACGCGCAAAAGAGAAAGTGGTTGAGTGTGATGTTAAGTTTATTTATTGCATGTTTAAGCATTGATTGATTGTTGTTGTTTATAATCTCTGATTGATCGTGCATGTTCTTGTTTGATTGTTGTGCGGTCAGTCTAGGGGTTATAGCAACATTGCTTGTTGTGTGTTATTTTGGGTTTTTGGGTGGGATTATTATTGCTTGTTAGTGGGAGCTACAACTCACTGAGCGATTAGCGCTCACCCCCCACTCTCTTTTGCAGGAAACCAGTAGTTGGAGCAAGGACGTTAGGCCGCCAGCGTAGTTTGTCTTGCCTTTGTAAAATAAACGCTTTTGAATTTATGTAGTGTGGGTTTTGGGCATTAGGCTCGAATGTAATGTATTTCTGATGTTTTGAGAAACCATATATAGATTAATAAAGTTTATTTTCTATATCAACTGGTTTCATCTGATATTAGCTTTGTCCGGGCTAACACAACTCTCGGCTTTGGTACGGGTTGAAAAGCCTTAGGCCGTGGCCGAGAGGGTCGAGCTCGCGGGACGGGCTGACCTGGGCTGTGATGTGTTCTTCGCCCGGGATGGCCTATCCAGCAAACCTCGGCAAATTGTGACGCTCACCGGCTTTGTCTATGTGTTTAGATCGAGTCGGGGGTGTTACAGTGCCGATAGCCAACTACAACCCGATGACCGGCCGACCGTCCCGACCAACCGTTCGGACGGTCCGATCGACCCGAGGCCCGTTTTGAAGCCCGTTTCACACGTTTTCACAGCCCGGCTTGACCTAATGCCGCCTCTGAAGACCTAGCATTATAAATACAACTTTTTAGCCTCTTGAGAGAGAGAGCCGCCTTGTATCACGATTTTCATACTTTGAGTTTTATGCAATTATGTTTTCTTCATCTTTATGTGTTATTGCTTTGATCATTTCTGAGTAATCTAGTAGTTAGGTTGTGAGATTTATCAAAGAGTTCATGGTTTGATAGGTTGTTAGAAATCGCCTAGGGTTTATTATATTTCATCTTCATCTTCACTTAAATTCATTGCTGCTTGCTTTTCTGATCATCTAGCATCAGATCTTAGGTTTCATATACTCTCCAATAGCTTGCTATATAACCTGAACTAAGTGTTTGGTGAGAAACACTTCATAGACTGCGAAAGTTGATCTATGCGGGGTTGTGAACAATTAGGTCTTGAACGAACTAATGCTTGATTTAATCACCTAGGGACATACCAAAAGTTTAGCGACTAGGTAGATTAACAAAGGGGTCGGAGCCTCGACAGTGGAAAGATCATACCCTCGTGACCTGAGTTCTAGATTGCGCGCGAAACCCTAGCGAACCTCTTTATCATCTTACTGACCTTGAATCTCTGCGAGTTTCTCATTGCCTAGCGTTTCTTTCTATTGATTTTCATAAACTGTTTTAGCTGCTGTTTAATTTCCTTTATTGCACAATCAAAAACCCCAAATCATATTTGTTTTCTAGCTATATTAGACTTGCAATACTCATAGTGTACTTATCTGCTCCTTGTGTTCGATACCCGTTTACTACTTCTGACCTGTGCGATCAAAGCCATGATGGCTGAGATACTGAGAAACCAAGGAAGAGAAGTGGAGAGACAAAGAGAAGCTTATAGAGTTGAATCCACAATAATTCAAGACTACTTTGGAGATTTGATTCCAAGTTTCAAGAAGAAGTAAACTTTGTTGGAATAGATGGATAGCACATAGAGAAGAAGCTTGGAAAGGAGAGCATGATGTTTTTACTCAAGAATCACCCAATGAGAAGAGGGATGTTCATGGAGGAAGAAATTATCAGCAACCACCTCACAAGAGAAGAATGGAGCCAAGGAGCAATTTTGAAGATTTGATAACTTTCATCAAGAGTTCTCATAGAGAGCATACAGCCTTGATTGATGAGAGATTGGAGTCAGCCTTCACGAGATTGAATGAGAAGTTGGATTCAATTTCTTCTTTCACAAGAGACTTGGATCTTAGAGTTGCCAACATAGCCAGCTCTATTAAGAGAGAAGAAGGTGTGCTACCAGGAAAAGTGGAAATCAATCCAAGGAGAGCAGCTGTAGCAGCTATCACTCTTAGGAATGGAAAAGGGTATGAGCCACCAGCATACCCAGATCAAGAGGAAGCAAACCGCCAATCAAGAAGAAACCAATGGAGTATGTCATTATTGGAGATGGACTGAACCACCTAAGGAAGTCCATGTCAGAATAGAACCAGGAACTCAGGAGGAAGTGGAGAAGCCACCTGAAGAACCAAGAGTGTATGAGCCAAAGATCCCATACAGAAATGTTCTTTCTCAACCCAAGAAGGAGAAGGAGCAAGCAAAGCTCAAGGATCTTGTTAGCCAACTTTCAGTAAGGTTACCTTTCATTGATGCCTGCCAGATAATTCCATCTCTCAGGAAATATATGAAGGCCATACTCACAAGCAATGTGAGTCTTGAAGAAGGAGCAATGATGATTACAAAGGAGTGTAGTGCCATACTTCAGAATCGCATGCCAGAGAAGCTGAACGACCCAGGAGTTTTGTTTTGTCTTGCAAGATCGGTTCTACACACTTCCATAGAGCACTTTGTGATTTGGGTTCTAGTGTGAACCTAATGCCTTACTCAGTGGCCAAGCTATTGGGCATCACTGACTTCAAACCTACAAAGATATCTCTAGTCTTTGCAGACAGATCTGTTCGCCGCCCTGTTGGTGTTATTATGGATGTTCCAATCATGGTTGGAGATTGCTACATCCTGCTGATTTTGTAGTTCTTGAGCTGGAACACCAACCTAAAGACCCTCTTATCTTGGGAAGGCCATTCCTAGCTACTGCAGGAGCTATAATAGATGTCAAGAATGGAAAGATTGACTTGCATCTTGGAGATATAGTGATGAATTTCGAGGTAAACAAGTCTATGGAGAAACCAACTGTAGATGGTCAAGCTTTTTGGATTGGAGAGCTCGCAGAGACAAGAGAAGAAGTGCTGGATGAACTCCTTCTTATTGATCCCTTGGAGCTAGCTTTGACAAAGGCTGAGAATGAGTATGGATACATGGAAAGAGAAGCTCAATGCTTAGTCAAGTTCATGGATTCAAGGAAGCTTATAAGGAGCTGATAGCTTATATGGACTAGAGAGAGAAGAGAAGAGCCAGACATTGACACAAATCAGGAAAGTACCACAAACCAAAGTTAAGTTCGACCCATGGTGCCCACTTAGAGCTCCAAAAGCCGAGCTCAAACAACTCCCAGTTGGTCTAAGGTATGAATATCTTGGTCCTAATGAAACATATCCTGTTATTGTTAATGCTGCACTAACAAAAGAAGAGACCGCTTTACTTGTTCGCGAACTGAGAAAGCATAGAAAGGCTCTTGGTTACTCTTTGGATGATTTAACAGGGCCTAGAAAAAGATCTACTCAATGGATTTCATCAAGACCAGTTCCCCGCGTGCTCTGACTGAGTTAACTCTCCAACACAATTGGATTGGCATCATTTGGATGAGTAGAAGTGAAGATATGATCAAATTAGTGAAGACTGGTCCAGACGGTTTTAGCGAGCATTCGCGTCCTGAGCCGCGCACACCAGCCGATCGTGGAACGAACGTACCGCGATCGTCCCGCGCACATCATTCGCATCCCGCCAAGTCCACGGCCGAGCTCACGTCCCGACCCGGAAAGCAACGTCCCACGGTCGAGCCGTTCTTAGCTCGCCACCACAAGCCGTGCACGACCGCGCCGCGCGAACAAGAAGGCAACAGCTCGCGGCTGCGCGGCACAACCCACATACCGCGGCCGACCCATCTGTCTGACCACGAAGGCTTCGTCCCGCGACCGGCCAAGATTCATCGCCCAAAACTTATCCATCCGTCCGACCCCGTCGGCCGAATACGAAAACTCTCGGCCACGATCGTTCTGACCGTGCCGATAGCCGACTACGACCCGATGACCGGCCGACCATCCCGACCGACCGTCCGAACGGTCGATCGACCGAAGCCCGTTTTGAAGCCCGTTTCACACGTATTCACAGCCCGGCTTGACCTAATGCCGCCTCTGAAGACCTAGCATTATAAATACTTTTTAGCCTCTTGAGAGAGAGAGCCGCCTTGTATCACGATTTTCATACTTTGAGTTTTATTGCAATCATGTTTTCTTCATCTTTTGTGTTTGCTTTGATCATGTCTGAGTAATTCACTAGTTAGGTTGTGAGATTTATCAAAGAGTTCATGGTTTGATAGGTTGTTAGAAATCGCCTAGGGTTTATATATTTCATCTTCATCTTCACTTGAATTCATTGCTGCTTGCTTTTCTGATCAACTAGCATCAGATCTTAGGTTTCATATACTCTCCAAAAGCTTGCTATATAACCTGAACTAAGTATTTGGTGAGCAAACTTCATAGACTGCGAAAGTTGATCTATGCGGGGTTGTGAACAATTGGGTCTTGAACGAACTATTGCTTGATTTAATCACCTAGGGACATACCAAAAGTTTAGCGACTAGGTAGATTAACAAAGGGGTCGGAGCCTCGACAGTGGAAAGATCATACAATCGTGACCTGAGTTCTAGATAGCGCAAACCCTAGCGAACCTTCTAATATCTTTGACCTTGAATCTCTGCGAGTTTCTCATTGCCTAGCGTTTCCCTTTCTATTGATTTTCATAAACCGTTTAGCTGCTGTTTATTTCTTTACACAATCAAAAACCCTAAATCATACTTGTTTTCTAGCTACATTAGACTTGCAATACTCGAAGTGTACTTATCTGCTCCTTGTGTTCGATACCCGTTTACTACTTCTGACCTGTGCACTTGCAGAATCAGGGATAGGAAAAGGGAAGACCTGATGCCGCGATCAATACTGCAAGCAATGGAAACTTCATGACCAAGACAATAGATGAAGCTAAGGTTCTTATCGAGAATCTTGCAGCTAGTGATTGCAACAATTGTGCTGATTATGGTCACTCAAGTCGCACCACCACTAATTCTGATGCGGGATCAGGTTTTACCTATTCCTATCCCTGATTCTGCAAGTGCACAGGTCAGGTGTAGTAACGGGTTATCGAACACAAGGAGCAGATAAGTGAACTACAGGCTATGCAAGTCTAACTTAGCTAGGACAAGAGGATAAGTTGGGGTTTTGGTATGCAAAAGAACTAAACTAAAAGAAAGCAATATGAAAGCGGTGTAAGTTCAATGTGAAGGGAGATGCTAGGCAATAGGTAATTCGCAGAGATTCATAGATGATAAGATTGATGATTGATTTCTATCTATGTAGGGATATGGGATGTAAGATCCGTCTAGAACACCAAACACGAATGTAAGATCATTCCACTGTCGAGGCTCCGACCTCTTTGATAACTAACCTAATCGCTAAGCTTTTGGCATGTCCTTAGGCAGTTAAATCAAGCATTACATCGAGCAAGTTCGGATACAGTTCACTAGGTTAAGTAAATCAACTGTCACAGTGATGCGGCATCTATGGGATGAGTACAAGTAATAATTCCCTAAGACAACTAGTGTTGCAAGTGCACAACATATAATTGTAGTATTTAGGGGTCGAACCACAAGGGATTGGATTTCACACATTACATAATCATATAGTTCAAAGATCTAAGCTAAATCAAAAATGCAAGGGTTTGTGTTTGTTGAGAACACATGAAAGAAAAGAACAATGCAATTCTATACAAGCAACATTATTGAACTATTGAAAACCTTTTGAAAACATATGCCAAGTCGATTGAAAAGTTTGTTAAAATCCGATTCTTTTGAACTCAAAACACTAAGGAAGGATTATTCCACTTTCGTGGTTCCAATCCCCTATGTCTCTTAAACCAATGGGCTCAGCTTTCGTTGGTCATTGTAGAGTGAGACATGCATTACACACAAGTAATGATTGTTCACAAAACTCTTTAGGTCTACTTTCGTAGCCTAAAACGATTTGCCCATCAAATACCATATCCGGAGATATAACAAGCTTTTGGAGAGTATATCAACCTAATCAAGTCACTAGTTAGCTACTCTAGCAACAAGCATTAAGCGTAATAAAGATGGAGAACCATAGGGTTTCCCCTTTAACAATCGATTTTCGAAGGCAATTATGCATGTCCTCAATGAAAGGATCCATAATTCAACAATGAGTCATAGATAGTAGATGAGATCTCATGAATCCTTTGAGAGAGAGGCGGAGAGATATGAGTCAAACCGCATCTCACCCTTAGGGAGAAATTCTACTTCTAGACTATATAAATTGAAACATGCAAGCTATGTACAAATGCAAAAGAAGAAAAGAAAGAAGAGCAAGGAGACCACCTAAGTGGCATCAAAACTTTGAATAATAGAATAAGGTCTTTCTCTGTGTCTGTGTGTGTTTTACAAGAGGCTAAAAGCGAGTATATATAGGTAGGGAGCGGGTCTAGGTTGGCGAAGTTGAGGCGCGCCAAGAAGAGGAAAGTTTCCATTTCTCTTCAGCCGGTTGAGCTTGCTCTCCAAGTTCTTGTACGAGCCGAGTTTGGGCCAAGGAAGCTTCCTTGTTTGAGTTAGACCAGTTTCAAGACGAGCCAAGGCCTTGGACGCGGTTGCTCGGGGCTTTAGATAGTTCAAATTCTCCATGGGCTTTGCTTAGGCGCTCATCGGACATGTTTTGGTAGAAAATAATTTCCGGCCCAATGAGTTATCCAAATGACCTCTTTCCACTTCGACGTGATGCATGACCCTTGTATCTATCTTTCCATATAAGAATCATGATTTTTTGACTTCGGGAAGGCATGAGTGCGCGGTCGAACTTCAGATGCTCCGGTTTGGTCTTTAGCGAGAAATGTAGTTTTCGTGCTCTAGACTTGGGAACTTGATAGTTTGGCTCCTTTTGCTCCATTTTGACCTGAATGATACTCAAAACCAAAATATATAAGAAAAATACATCTTGGGCATAAAAGCCATGTTATTTGTATTGAAAACATAATGGCTGTAACTGGTGACCAAGGAATGAGGGGGAATTAGACAATTCCCCTTCATTCCTTTAAAATTACACCATTTATAAGGAATGTGTATTCCATATTATTCCTTACCATTCCATATTAATTAGGGAATTATAGTGTTAAAATATTCCTTATAAAATATGAGGAGGAATGAGTTCCATATATTTTATTCCTCTTCATTCCATTCCTTCTCATTCCTTTTGTTCCTTTACAGGTCACCAATTAGAGCCAATAAAAACCTTGGTAAAAACATGAAAGATATGGATATATCAACTCCCCCAGACTTAGCCTTTTGCTTGTCCTCAAGCAAACTAAGAGAGAAAGAGAGGTTTGAAAACATAAGAACTCTCAAATCATTAGGAAATCCGGGTTGGCTTGATTTTAGTAATCCACATGAAAACAGCAAAGGCATTTTGAATTAAGAACAAGAGTACATACCATGAGTTTTGCGATTGTCCCAAAGCGGTCCACCTCTCCTTAGACAATCCAATTCGCCATCCTTGACTCCTTTAGTTTCTAAAGGTGTAGTCTCAACTAGGGAGTATCGATCAGCCTGCTTTTGGACTCTTACTCATCCCCTTGTTTGGCACTTGTCTTTTACTCCATGTTCCTCCTCTCTCTCATCTCACTTCTTCAAGTTGATTCATCCCTTTTTAGGGTAGCAATGTATTTTTTTTATTCAACTTCTTCTCTTTATTATAGAGGTTTTGCTTGGACCTTCCATAGACGCGAGTATTGATGGTGTTTGCCACCGAATCCCGGTTACTTGGATCCATAGGCCTTCCATAGACGCGAGTATTGATGGTGTTTGCCACCGAATCCCCGGTTACTTGGACCTTGATGCTTTTTCTTTAAATTGAAGGGGAGAGAGAGGGAAAGCACGAACTCACTAAGACTTTTTCATTTGATGGAGAGGATGAGGAATCATGCCATTTGTATGCCAAGCCCCTAGCTGAGAAGATTAAGTTCATTAAGGGCGGAGTCAAAGATGGATCCTTCTCAAGTCCTTAGAGATGTAGGCGTTTTTGGTAGATCGATCAACTCATAGTGCACCTGTGGTAAGATGTATTGCCAAAATGCTTCAATGGTCACTTAAATGTTAGCACAACAATGGTTAGATCCAAGATAAGGTCATAATTCTTGACAAAATTTTGACTCAATAAAACGACTCGATGAAAAATCAAAAAGATCAAATGTGTTATTAATCCCTCCAGACTTAACTTGCACCATCCCGGTGTAGAAAAATCCAATTAATAAGGGTAAATAAAAAAGTGAAATGAAAAAGGTTAGGGTTTGTAGAAAATGTACCAAATGTGTTGAAGGTCGGGTTGTGAATTTTTCTCAATGCTCCAGGAGTGAACTGACTGGTGCAAAGATCTTTTAGGCTTATTTGGTTGAATGAGTCCTTCAATTCCTCCTTGGTTCGGTGTTTTTTGCCTTGTGGCCGAGACTGGTCCGTTTTGGTCGACCGGATGGTGATTCTACGGACTGCGGCTCGATTGGTGAAGATTTCCTCGACTGATCTTGAAATTTTGTTGACCAACATGGTATAATATGGACTGGTGAAGTTTGGGGTCGTTTGAACAATAGCCGTTAAACAATAAATTAACAATATAAACACATTATACAATTATAAAACATCAAAACAAAATTATATTGAATAATTATGATTGTTCAATAATAAATATTAAAAACTCAAAACATAATAAATAATAATATATGTATAATACTTATATTTATCTTTTAATATCTATAATTTGGATGAGAGATGTGATTTTCATTAAAAAAATATTAAAGTAAACAATAAGTATATTATAATATTATTTTTTAGATATACATGTATTAATTTGAAAAGAAAATTTAAAATACTTATATTAAAAATGCATTAGATATATATATATATATGTATTAGTTTGAATTGAAAATTTAAAATATTTATATGTATTAGTTTATATAGATATATTGTTGTTCAATAATTAATATTAAAAAAAATAATAATAATATGTGTATAATATTTATATTTATCTTTTAATTTCTATAATTTGGATGACATATGTGATTTTCATTAAACAAATATTAAAGTGAAAACTAAGTTTATATTATAATAATTTTATTTGTTATATATATATATATATATTAGTTTGAATAGAAAATTTATCAAGAGAATTTTGATTATAATTTATATATATAAACAAATTATGATATATTTTCAAAATAAAAAAATTATGATATGTTTTTAATGAATATTTACTAAAAATGCCTAATTTATTTATTTATATTGTAACTAAATCTTATTTTTGAAAATCACATATCTGATTTTAAATAAATTTGTATTTTTTTATTTAAATTCCACTCGCAATCGTCAGCAACTGGGTTTTGAACATTTCTTGTTAGTTTCTTTTTTTTTAATTATTATTATCTGCAATTTTGCTAATGGCATCTCCATCGCGGATTTAAACATGGATTTAAAGAAACTTGGTGATTTAAATAAATGTTTAATCTAACAATATACTAAAGTCGAGTCTTAGCTTAGCTTCTTTTGCTAAAATTAAAACAGTGGACACGTATCAAGTGCACATTAAATCACTTTTTGAGAAAAGAAGAATATAAAAAAATTTCTCATTTCTCTCTCTCTCTGGCCCTGTTTGTTTTAAAAACGATGCGATCACTCTCGCGACTCAAAAATACAGTTAACAGATATGATAAAAAAATTGAAAACCAGTCACTATGACTACGTTTACGGAGGATGCCGGTGTCGTCGTTATCGCTGGATAAAACCAGCGGCTGTAAAGGTGATTGCTGCGACTAGTTTTGTGACTAGTTTACGTTGTTGGGGATGGTAGTCTCCAGAATTGGCGGAAAAGTAACAAAAAAGTATGGTCGCAATCGCTGCTGCAGCGACGTTCAAAAGAACACGGCATATTTCTTCTTCTAATCATTACTTCTCCATTCATGATCACCATGATCCATAAGACCAACTATCTGACCAAGCATGGGATCAAGTCTTTGAGTTAGCAACCGGTGATTATGGTCGGCCTAGAAAAGAAAAGAAAAAAAGACAATATATAGAAAGAAACCACATACCCACATACCTGGCATATATGTTACGTTGACATTTCAGAATGAACAAGCACTTATTCAAGAAAATAGTTGATCGAGTCTCCACTCACGTTCCATACTTAAAATTACATTTTTATATGTATTTATAGTTTATGATAAAATAATTTTTTGCAATATTTAAAAATAACAGTCACAGTCTTCACAGCTTTTGTTACCAATCACACTTTCAAAAATTTATAAAGTAACAGTCACAGCCCTTACAGCCAAAATCTCTACAGCCAAAAATCACAGCCTAAAGCGTAAAGCCAAAGTCCTAAACAATCAGACCCGTAAACTAGTTCTTCTCTTTTTTAATTTGCATTTTTTTATCTAATATTTTGTATGTCTTTCTATACTTTCAAATTTTATTAAATCCAATATATTTAGGGGGAATTACTCTCATAATCGTTTTGCAATGTGAGAGGAGGAAAAATTGGTGAAGAGTTGGAAATTCCCCACCTCAAGAATTTGTTATTACCCGTGTTACTCCTTTTTGGTTTGGTAACAAAAATTGTTATTACAGTTTCTGCCATTAATGAAAAATGACATTTTTGTTGGATGAAATGCAAACTCTACCATTCGTTTAATGGTAGACTTATGGTAGGATAATAGATTATTTGTAATGTAATCTCTCTCTTTCTCTCAATATGGCCCTGTTCGTTTTAAAATCGCTGCAATCACTCTCGCGACTCAAAAAAACAGTTAACAGATAGGATAAAAAAATTGAAAACCAGTCGCTGTGACTACGTTTACGGAGGATGCCGGTGTCGTCGTTATCGCTGGATAAAACCAGTGGCTGTAAAGGTGATCGCTGCGACTAGTTTACTTTGTTAGGGATGGTAGTGATGTACTTGCATTTTACATAGTTTTAGTACATCTTTTATGCATCTTTTGCATAGTTTTAGCATCCATTAGCATCATATCTTGTTCCTTTTCTCTTCTTATGCATTCATAGTAGTTTTAGGTTGCATTTGCATACATATGCATGTTTGGTCCTTTGAAATAGGTCTTTTGGAGCATTCTGGAGCATATGGGACGTGAGGAGCATGGAGGGACTTGGGCATGGACGCAGCTCAACTGGATACGCAAAGGAAGAAGGAGAAGCCATCTTGAAGACCAGCTCGACCAACCGGTCGAGTTCCTCAACTCGACCGGCCAAGCTTCAACTCGATCGAGCTGAGAAGTCAAAGTCAAACCCGAAAAATGTTGCTTCCCCCTTGACTTCCTTTGACCCTAAACCTAATCCTCTTGTATTTAAAGGCTCTAAGCCACGAAAAAACCACCAAGCTTTAGATTATTTTGTTTTAGTTTCTTTTAATTTATTGTCTTTTACTTTTTAGAGCTCTAATCCCATCTTTGTGTTCTTGAAGCTCTTGCTTCTTGAATCCTAGATCCTGGATAATCTCTTTGTATTTGCACTTGCTTATTTCAATAAAAGTTGTTTATTTCATCTCCTCTTTCTTATGATGTTCTTTTCATTGCATTTGCTTGTGTTTACATTCATGTGTAGTGAGTAGTTACCCATTAGGGTTTGAGATGGGATAGATTAGAGGTTTCATATGCTTAATCCTTCTTGCTTATGGTCTTAATCTAGATTCTCTCTCTTTTGGATAATCTTAAGGCTACATGACCACTACCCCTGGCTTGTATGTCCTTAGGCGATTCTCCACATGGAAGTGATGGAAATCGCTGGAAAAGATCCACTAAGAGCTCCAATATCTCTTGCTCTAGAAATGGAGGTCTAAGGGGTTGGATGGATTAGTTTGGGCAATGATCCTATGGCCTCCAAGGTTTGATTCTCACTGGCTAACCCCCTGTTTCTGAGATCATTCCTTGGTTGATAGCCTTTCACCTTGGGAAAGGGTTGGCTAGGCATTGAGAAGCCCAATATCAAGAGAAGCCTTGATACAAGGAGTTTTAAGAGCAAGATTGATTAAGTGTAGATTCCTCTGATTGCAAAACCCTGTCTTGAACCCTAATTCTCGCATTAGCTTGTTAAAGTCTGCCTTTAGCTTTTTCAACTCCCTAAACTCGATCGAGCTGGTACTCTGTTCCCACTCGACTCGAGTCCTTGGTCGAGCTGTTGCTTACTGCTTTATTTACTTTTATTGCATTGCATTTCTTTTCATTTAGGTTGTTAGTGTTACCAATCTATTACTGCTTGCTTGACTTCCTGTTGTTTCATATTCTCATAGAGTGACAAGTTTCCCATTTTGGATTGATAACCCTTATACTATAATGACTATGATGGTTAAAGGGAATTGTTGACTGTGTTTGTGTTTGCATCTTACCACCTCATCATATACCACTGTTGCATTCCACCACATCTCATTTCATATCTTTCACATCCACACACAAATCCTATCATCAATTTGGCGCCGTTGCCGATTTGGGAATATTTTTGTTGCATTTGAGTTTCAAACACACTTGGACGATCAAGCTATACCACCCCTGTTCTATTGTACTGCTGGGTTTTTGTCTCTTTTTGCAGGTGTATGCGAACTCGATCGAGTCGGTCTACAGAAGACTTGGTCGAGCTAGACTTACAACGGGTAGAAAGAGGGTTCAGAGGTCACAGAGGGTACAAGAGGAACCTGAGGTGCTTGTTGCTGATACAATGGATGTACCAGAGGGGAATGGAAACCCTTTGGGCAATGGACTCGGTCGAGCTAGGCAAACTCGACCGATTGGTCAAGGAGATGCTCCAAACCGCCACCAACAGAGACAAGGGATTGTTCCACCACCAGTGCAGAACCACAACTTTGAGATCAAGCTGGGAATGATCAACCTTGTCCAGAACAAGATGTTCCATGGATTGCCAAGTGAAGACCCCATTGACCACCTTGATGAGTTTGATAGGCTTTGTGATTTGACAAAGATCAATGGTGTCTCTGAAGATGCCATCAAGCTGAGACTCTTTCCTATGTCTCTAGCTGACAAAGCTCACCAATGGGAGAAGAGCTTGCCCCATGGCACAATCACCACTTGGGATGAATGCAAGAAGGCCTTTCTTGCTAAGTTTTTCTCCACCGGTCGCACAGCCAAGCTTAGAGGAGAGATATCCAGCTTCATCCAGCGAAACAATGAGACATTCGCAGAGGCTTGGGAGAGGTTCAAAGGCTACACAAGTCAGTGCCCACACCATGGATTCAACAATGAATCACTACTCTCCACTCTTTATAGAGGATGCTTGCCTAGGTATAGGGAGATGCTAGACACAGCTAGCAATGGGAACTTCCTCAACCAGGATGTAGATGATGGCTGGCAACTTGTGGAGAACATAGCTAACTCAAATGGAAGCTATGGAGAAGAGTATGATCGCACCAACCGGAGCTCGACCCACCACTCGATCGAGTCAGACGAAAAGTTGAGAAAAGATGTTAAGGCATTGAATGAGAAGTTGGATAAGCTGATCCTAGCTCAGTCCACAATGAAGAAAGTCAACTTTGTGTCTGCTGAGGAGATGGAACCAGTCCAAGAAGGGGAGGATACACAATTTGCTGAGGTGTGCTACATGAGCAATGGGCAAGGAGGTTACAACAAAGGATACTATAATTACAAGTCCAACCCTGCCATGTCATACCGCAACACTGATGTTGCTAACCCTCAGGACCAAGTCTATCCTCAACAACAAGCAGCTCGATCGAGTCAAGCCACAACATGGGTATGGTCAAAAGAACAATTACCAAGGACCACAAGGCACTTTCCCTGGACAACAAATGAATATCCCACCAGGCTTCCCCCACCAACCGCCCCAGCCTGCACCTTCACAAGAGAATGAGCTCAAAGCAATGCTAAAGCAACTACTTCAAGGGCAAGCTGATGGGGTAGTGGACACAAGCAAGAAGCTAGCTGAAATAAACTCTAAGATCGAGAACCTCAACACAAGGGTTTACTCTCTGGAGAATCATGCTTCTTCTGTTGCTGCTGCTACAAAGCAAGGACAACTACCTGGTAAAGCTATTCAGAACCCCAAGGAACAGTGCAAGGTCATCTTCACTCAAGAAGGACTTGTTGAAGAAGAGGATCAAGAAAGGGTCATTGAAGATTTTTGTTTACTGCTGAATGATGAAGAGATTGTTGCTGCTGAGGCTCCTGGAGTCCAGATTGATCAACCAGAAGTGCATGCACCTACTGTGGCCATTCACACTTCACCAGTTGAGCTCGCACGACAAGCTCGATCGGCAGCTCGATCGAGTCCAACTCTAGCTCGATCGAGTCCGACCTCTTCTGTCCGACAGCCTGTTTTGCTTGATCCTTATCAACCGGTTGCCGCTTCCTCGTCTCGCCTACTTAGTCAAGGTCACAAGGAAGTGATTCACAAGTTCAGAAGAGATCTCAGTGGGATTGGAATTGAGTTGCCTCCTATGGATAGCATGAGTGAGGCATTTGATCAAATGCAAATGGTCAAGGATGTTCTGGCCAACAGTGATAAAGTTTCAGAGGTCCTACAAGAGTCTACTCATCAGTTCAACCTGCTTACTTCACCCACCTTCCTACCAAAGGTCAAGGATCAAGGGAAATTCACTCTCCCTTGCACACTTGGGCATCTTGAGATTGACAATGCCTTAGTGGATTCTGGAGCAAGCATCAATCTGATCTCTCTCTCCATGGCAGAGAAGCTAGGCATAGCTGGAGCCTTGCAGCGCCCTACTACTTCAATCATGTTTGGAGATGCAACTTCTAAGTCTCCTCTTGGAGTGTTCAAGAACTATCACTTGAAAATTGGAGAATGCATCATCCAAACTGATCTCACTGTGATGGAAATGGAAGAAGAGAAGGATTTGCCTTTTATTGGGAACCCCTTTCCTTAGTACAGTTGGCGCTTCAATTGACTTTCACAAGCAAGAAGTGATCCTTCACAAGGTGAATAGTTTGGTGTCATATCGCTTGCAGCCTAGAGGTTCAGACTTTTGTGCCACAATTGACAGTACCAATCTCAGTTCTAAGAGTCATGGAGCTACAAAGGTTGTGAAGGAAAGGGTTGACAAGGAACCAAGAGTTGGGAAGGATAAGGATGAGAGAGGACCAAGGATTGAGAAGCCACGTCTTGAGAGGGCTAGAGTTGAGAAACCACGATCTGATAGGCCAAGAGCTGAGCGACTTGTTCAAGCCCCTTGTGTGCTTGATGAAGAGAGCCTTCAAGCTTTGTTTGATGAGCCACTAGGAAGGGCTCTAAAGAAGGGGAGGATGCAGCCTCTAAGGCAAGACCAGGAGATAAAAGAAAGGATCCACCAGCTCAGGCCCCTTCAGTCAAGCCATCTCAGCTCACAATGACTTTGTTCCCCACCAAGTTTGAAAATGGGAAGATTGAGTACAAGATAAGGTACAAGGGGAGATCAAGGCCATTCTCTAGAGCCAAGGCCTTGGTGACTTCAGAACAGTCCAGGGACCCAACCAAGCTAAAGGAGCTTCTGTCTCAAGTCCTCACTATCACCCTTGATGGTGGGACTAGCTCAACCAATGCCTAAGAAGGTAAAGGTCAAGCTATGGGACCTTAAACAAGCTCACTTGGGAGGAAGTCCCATGTTTATCCTTGTACATACTCTATTTATGCAATTTCTATCTATCTTTATGTTTTTAACCTTTCAATAAGTTAAGTTTAGGTGTCAAGGAGCCAGCTCGACCACGAGCTCGATCGAGCTAGAAACCAGGGCAACTCGATCGAGTTCCTCAACTCGACCAAGGTAAGTTTTTGAATTTCAAATTCATAACCGTTTTCTTGGTCAAGGGAGTGGGTCCCACAAGCTGATTTTGGTCCCCCACTACCCTAATTCGATCAGAGAATCCCTAGTTTCTTGTTCCCTCTTTACATCTTTTAATCTCAACCACACATCTCAAACACTCTCTTCCCCATAACTCGATCGAACCCACTTCCTCTCTCCCACACTCTAAATTTCTGAAATCATCCATCTCTCTCTTCACCACAAAAATCGATTTCAATTTCTCTCTAAGTTTTTGCGATTTCATTGTTCTCTTCTTGTTTTGCTTAGTTTTAGTTTACTGCTCTTCAATTCCATCATTCAAGCAAGGTATGAACCCTAAAACCCTTATCCTCCATCTCGATTCCTATTGCTTGTTTCTCTTGATTTTTGATTGCATGTGTCCCTTGTGGACTTGTTCTTGAGAATTGCTTTCATATTTCGCCTCTGCTGTAACTTGTTAGTTTGCTTCACCTCACCTCTGTTTTGCCTTTAAACTTGTTGCATGTGCTTGAAATTGAATTTGAGTTTGGTAATGGTTAGGTTGCTATGTTTTCACTAGAATTGCTATTGTTCCATTTACTAGTTGTTCTTGGTTCAATTTGATTGATTAGCATCCTTTCCAGCTCTTAATACTGAATTAGGTTTGGTTATACTCTGTTTTCACCCAACTCGATCGAGTTTGTCACTCGAGTTTTTTGACTCGATCGAGCTGAGTGTCGAGTTGACCAAACCGATCATTACAACTCTAATTCTTTGAATTTTGATGCATTTCAGGGACCAATCTAAGATGTTGAGAGGTGAAGGAAGCAAGCAGCGTTCACAAGGAGGGAGATGATAAGAGGAGCAAGGAGGATACTCAAAACACAAACCAAGGAGGACATAGAAGAGGTTGAGAGGGTGAGGGAAGAAAGGAGAACCAAAAGAAGGAATGATCCTTCAGCAGTGAGAGCGAAGCAGGAGAGTTTGAAATTGGAGTGAACATCCCACATGAGGAGAATGATGACTCCCAAGTGAAGAAGAGGGTGAAGAGATCAATCAAGAGATTGAGGAGAGTGAGCATGAGGGCAATGAGAATGTGCCCATGGAAGAGGAGGAGTCAAGGAAGAAGAGGATGAGCTCCCCATGTACCAAGAGCACTATGATGCTCTCTTCTCCATGGACTTCATGGACACCAAGTACCCACATGTTGACACATGAAGGCCCTTGGAATCTTTGAAGATGTGGAGTTGGTCCTCAAGAACATGCACTTGGCCAAGCTCTTCTCTACCACATGGAATCCTACAAGGAGCTCACTTGCGAGTTCTAGCTTCAATGAGGTACCACATGTATGAGAGAAGATAGAGCTGATTTGGACCAAGGATTGGGATGGATCACGTTCTTGGCTAAGGGAGAGAAGAGAATGGTGACCTTTAGGCAGCTGGAGATCTTGTTTGGGTTCAACTATGGAGAGGGAACCAAGTGGAACTTCAAGGAAAAGGAACTCCAAAGGGTTTGGGCTACAATCGCTGATGGAGTGTACTCTTCCTCAAGGTCAAGGCAGCTCAGATCAGGAGCCCAGTCTTGAGATATGTGCACAAGGCACTTGCCAACACCTTCTTTGCAAGGAAGGCAACCGGGACAATCAACGAGGGGGAACTCAAGTTTCTTGACATGGGAATCAAGCCCTTCTCTCACGCACAAGCGAT